TTATACACTTCCCACCTCTGTTTGTATTATTAGTTTGTTATGCAAAGTTATTTTAAAAATAATTATAATAATAATTGAAGCATGATAGCCCATGTTACATGGACGTTGCAATAACTCAACCTACAATGTACTCTCGAGTCATAAAGAAATTGAAAATAATAATAAATACAAAATTAAAAAATATTAAATCATCAATGTTGATATTAAAAATATATATTTTTCAAAATATATAATATTGATTAATTTTAATATATTTTTTTAAGAAAAACTATTACCATCCATAACTTTTATAAGAGAAATTTTCACTTAACAAATAGGCAACAAAATTTGATATTCAATGTTATTGTTACCTAAATGTTCTTGTTTGGAGTAAGTTATACAAAATGAGTCGCCCGATCGTGGGTTATGCTCGAAGTTGTGCTCGACTCATTTAATTAATAAGACTCGACTCGTTAAGGCTAAAAAAATACTATATTGTAATTAATTTTTAACTATTCGACTCGTTCAGATTCAATTTCGATTTGTTAACATTGACAAACAAATTGTTCGAGCTTATTTAATCAATGAGCTAAGCCGAAATAAAAGCTCGAATTCAAACTTGAGTATCGGGAGTTTGAGCTCTTCCTCTTTCTGAAAAAGCAAACTGTATGTTATTACATAATCTTCTTGAAGATACATGTTCAATTGAAATGAGAGGTGCCCAAAAATGGTGGCCACCTCATTTATTCAGGCAGTTGTACAAAAAAATCCATGTGGGTAACAACTTTATTTAATGCAAATTTAACTAGTTAATCACTTTATCAATTCAAAAATAAAAATTGTCACAAGAAAACACACACACACACACACACACACTTGCAAATAGATAGAGAGATAGATACAAGAAGGTGTCTGAATGTATAGGTCAATTTGAAAATAAGAGGAAAGTAGGGCCCACAGCACAAGGGCAACTGACCTGTTAAAGTGTACCTACTTACCAAATCCAACCCCATCCATTAACTACTTGTCTTTCTCACCAACTTGTCAATTTACACCCCCACCACTGGGACCCACACCCCTTATTTTAATTAACTATTTGTCTTCTTTTTTTTTTTCTTTTTTTTTTTAAAAGAAAATCCTCAAATTCAACTAATAGAGAGCTCATGAAAATCACAAAGAAGAAAATAAGTTATTGGAATGATGAAGGGTGTTGGTTAAAAACTACATATTAAATTCCTCCCTATATATTAATTCAAAACGTGTTGAATCTAGGTGGCAGATTTTCACGCTTCGGATGCTGACATGACAAAAACTATGCTTCGTGATGTTGTTTTAATATTATTTTTGCTCTGGAATTAAGTTCGGTATTAGACATAAATAATTTTACACATATATTCATTAACTCAACACCCATGTTGTACATGAGTATAAGTACTAGTAAGGTTTTAAAGATAAAAAGAATGAAAAATTATGATTGGTTATGGAAATTTTTGGAAGAAAACAGTATTAGTATTTGAAAGAATATGAAACTTGGTTAAAAACTACATATTAAACGACATTACGTTGTCATTGAATGTTGTACAAAAAAGTAAGACAGACCACTCATCTATAAGAGCACCCAAAATGTATTGGGTCTAATTTTATATATGTGGTATATAACGGGACTTAGGTTCTAAATGACAAGAACAACCCCTAGTAAAAAAAAAAAAATCAAAAGCTATTTAGTGTAAAAATAAAATACTAAGTATAGAATATTTGTCAACCAATAAAAATGTTCTAATATTTTTCCTCTATTAAAAGAAAAATTAAATTAAAAATAAATGAGGACTGTTTAGGTTTGTACTTGAGTCTAAAATAGACTCAAGAGTAGACTTTGTCTCTTTTATTGATTGTCACATAAGCTAGACCATGTTCACTCTTAATTACATCTGAAATATTTTTTGATAGATTAAATCTATTTTCAACATAGCATATGATATCTTTTTAAGAGACCTGATGCAAGAACTCTAAATATCAGACTATGTCGAAAATCAATTATACATTTGTACTACCTTTTAATTTTTTTTAAATATCATTTTGGCTTTATCAACAATTAACTAAGTAAATAACGTTTTAGATCTTTTTTACATATTTTTCCATTATTACCCTTATCTAGTTAATAAATATACTACGTATATTTATCAAGGAAAATTCCCCATCGGCTGACTTCTAACCGCCCTTTTTAATTTCCTCTACTTTCTTTTAAGTCTCATCACCCACCCACCCACCCTACCCTACCTTACCCTACTTCTAATCCCCCACACACATATAAATCTCTCAATCATCTCCCCCAATTTATTCTCCCAAAAAAAAAAAAAGCACTCCAAAAAACCGCTCATCAATTTTTTCCTTCATTTATCATCTCAATCACAATAATAAAAAAATAAGAAAATAAAAAAATCTGCAATCAATCCATAAGAGTCGTGTCTGCAAAAATACGCTTTAAGGCCATGGGCCGATCACCTTGCTGCGAAAAAGCCCACACCAACAAAGGCGCTTGGACCAAAGAAGAGGACCAGCGCCTAATCAACTACATCCGCGCCCACGGCGAAGGCTGCTGGCGTTCCCTCCCCAAAGCCGCAGGTACAATCACTTTATGCATGCCCTAAACAATACATATTAATTTGTACCTTTTTTTTTGGGAATTAATAGTTTTTTTTTATGTGATTTTAGGATTGCTTCGATGTGGGAAAAGCTGCAGGCTGAGGTGGATAAATTACCTGAGACCTGACCTCAAGAGGGGCAATTTTACTGAAGAAGAAGATGATATTATTGTCAAACTCCATAGCCTTCTTGGAAATAAGTATGTTGTTGTGTGGTCTACCCTTATTTAATTTCACCTTTTATTTTCCCCAGATTTTTTTATTTATTTATAGCCGACGGACGGAATGGTTCCGTAACGGGATAGTATCATTTTTCTTTATTTATATTATTGGATTTGGGGGGTGTTGGTTGAAATTTTGTACCTTGTGTTGCTGTTGAAAAGTAAATTATTGGCTTAATCTGGATGATTTGGCAAATTTATTTGTGACCATGGTAGAATTGAGGACCAGATTTTGCATTTACATGTATGAAAACTGCATGTCCATAAACATTTTCACTTTTCTAATATTTAATACAAATTTTCGTGTGAGGCGGTATTACATTTTTAAATGTGTTACTTTTGTAGGGAAATGTTACGATCTCGTTACGGAACTATTCCGTTGGAGTTCGTAATCGTTAGATCAAGTATCCCGACGATTACATGATATTTAACGGTTACAAATCCTGGTTCCGTAACGGAACCGTAGTATTTCCCTACTTTTTATATATGTTGTATTTAAAGTTACTATGACATTTTCTGATAAATGTGTACATATTTGCAAGAACACGTAATGTTTGGTGAAAATATCAAGAAACTTCTAGTAATTTTATTTATTTATTATTTTTGCAGGTGGTCCTTGATAGCTGGGAGGCTGCCCGGAAGAACAGACAACGAGATCAAAAACTACTGGAACACACACATCAAACGCAAGCTCATTAGCCGCGGCATAGACCCACAAACCCACCGGCCGCTCAACTCCACCACCACAACCACGCCTGGCAGCACCACCACCGCCGCTGCCACTTGCCTAGACTTCAGGCCGTCAACCGACCCATCCCCTTCAAAGGAAAACAGCGCCGCCACCTCAGCTGACAACGCCAAATGCAGTAGCAGCACAACCGAGGAGTTCCAACCGCCTGCCGAGGATGAGGGACCGGCCCATGGGCTCAACCTGGAGCTGTCTATTGGGCTGCCTTCTCAGACCAATTGCTCGAAATCATCTTGGGCCGAGTCCAAGTCTTTCCAGGGATTGTTGAGGCCACTGGCGGCGGTGGCTGGGCCGGAGGCGGCTCGCCGAATGTGTTTGTGTTGGCAAAAGGGCAAGTTGTGTGGTACTTGCCAGTATTACAGTGGATTATATAGATTTTACTGACTATATATATATGTGTGATGATTAATATGTTGTAGAATTTTTAGTTTTAGATATGGATCTTGATCTACTTTTACTTTTTTTTTTTT